AAGAGTCTTCTGAAATATCACTAAGCTCCAACATGCTGTTAATGGATTGTTATTGTTCATATAGAGTTTTTAGATGCAGCCTTAAAATAAAAAAAGTGTATGTCCATGCAATTGAACAAAGCTGTAGTGTTTGTTTGTGTGTACATGAAAGCAGTGGCTAAATCAATGATTCTTGGTCTCAAGGGGAACATTGGGTTTAAACTGTACCTACATTTGGATATTTTGGCATGATACTATGCTAAATAAGTAATTAAAATGCCCTACCTCCCCCCTTTTTTATGGTTTATGTTTTTGTATGTATTTTTGTACAATGCTCTACTTCTTCCAGGAAGTCAGAGTGTGCGTTTGAGAGCTTGTGATACCTGAACCTGCTCAGCTCGGGATTGTATCCTACAACATATTGTGAATATGACTCTGTGTGACCCTTCTAGGCTTTGAAACAATTGTATATCCTGTTACTTGTCAAATTAGAAGATTTTATTTATTTTATTTCTTTGTAAGCGGTACTATTTAGTACAATTCTGAATGCCTTCTGCCAGAATTTGCATTATGTTAAAAAAAATAGTAGCTATATATGTGAGGTATGTATAAAACTAAAAGGGATCACTAATGTTTGCTAATAATTTATTTAGATTTTTTAAACAGTGTTATGTTTTGTTTCATTTTTGGTCTACAGACGTAACTAGAAAATGCATTTCCTGCTGAAAATGCATGTGAATGCTGTAAACTGTGTATATTTGTTGCTGAATTTAGCTGAAAATGCAGAAAAAGCTGAATATGTTATTAGTTGAATGGTCTCTGTAGCTGCTTTTAGTTACAAAAACCAAGTAAGTGTGTTGCTGAACTTAGCGGAGAAATGCAGAAAAGTGAAATGATTTGAGTCAAAATTGTTACAGCTCAAATGCATTGCAATGACTTTGTTGAAAACTTGAAATTGAAATGTTAAACTGGAAGAGTAGGACAAATAGTGAAGAGGCTTAATATTTAAAAGAAAATGTTTTAAAAGGTATAAACAACAACATGTATAGCCTGAAATAGCTGAATAGTTGAATGGTTTCTGTAACTGAAAGTAGGCTGAAGGAGTTAAATATCAGATGTACGTAGCAGTGAATGAATGTGTGATAAGAGAAGAAAGTAAAAAGACTTTGAAAAGCATCAGAATATTTTAACTGCAAACTTTTGAACTAACTTGATGGCGAGTGATCTATTGCCATGGCAACGGCATTTGATGAAACCCCATAATACGCTGTTGATGGCTGCATCGTTACCAAACCTGTGAAGTTTTGGGCCGTTTGGAGCATTTTCACTGAAGTTAGGTGTTTCATGGTGAGCATTGTGTCGCCATGGCAACGGCATTTTAAGAAATGTCAAAACTGTCGCGTAGATGTTTTCACGGCTGGACTGTTTGCACACATGTGAAGTTTGAGCACTTTTTGACAATTTTCATAGGAGTTATAGCAATATCGTGTTTTATGGCGATGGATGTGTTGCCATGGCAACAGCTTTTGAGGAAAACTCACTATTGGCACATAGACATGTTGAGGGCTGGAACATTAACCATTATCTGAAGTATGGTGCTGTTTTGACCATTTTCATAGGCGTTACGACAACATCGTGTTTTTTGGCGAGGGACGCATTTCCATGGAAACGGCAATGGTGAGATGTCAGATTTGGCATAAAGCTGTTGAGTCATGGACCGGTGATATACAAGTGAAGATTGGGGAACGATCGGACCGTGCCAATTGGAGTTACAGCGACATCGTGTTTTATGGCGAGGGTAACACCACATTATGTAACATCAGATTTTACGTAGAGCTGTTCAGGGCCACAGTGTTAACCAGCATGTGATGTTTGGTGGCGTTCTGAGCTTGTCAGTTGGAGTTATGACATCATCACACAGGTGTTTATGTTTGAGCTGACGCTATGAAACACCTGTGCTTGAGCCCAGAGGTCAAAGGTTTCCATGGTGATGTGCAGTAATCAGTGAGAGGAGAGCCTTTCCATTGATCTGAAGATCTGAGATAAACCTCTTACATGTGAACATTTTGTTGAAGAACCGTAGCAGATATCGGTAAAATGTCAACGCGTGGAGCGTCTCAGGACCCTGACGAGCGGCTGAGTCTGCTTCTAATGTACTTTCGGGTTAATAATGTGGCATTTTTGGCAGTTTTACAAAAGGTGTGCAGCTGGTGCTGTGATGAAAGATGATGCTGCATTTACTATAGGCGCATTCACACCGCAGTACTTTTCCCACAAAGGTTCATGAGAACTTAGTTCATGAGAACTCTTTAGTTCTCATGAACTAAGTACAGATCGCGTTCACACCGGAATAAATCCCTGGGGGTGGATTAGGCAAATGAAGCCGCTGACGTCACTTCTTCTTCTTCTGCTTTGGGTTTACTGGCAGGCCGCAAACCACTTCACGACGTATACTGCCGCCCAAAGTCCCCGGCCGGAAGTCCCCGGAGTTGGGGACTGGCTTCAGTAGAAGCTGCTGTCCCAGCAGCTTCTACTGAAGCCTTCAGAGTAAATCGCCAGAACGCCGACACCTCCTCATCTCCACCGCTCCCATGTTTTATTTTGTGTTGCCATAAGTTAGTCTCTCTGCGTTGCTGCACTGGGCTAATGCTAATAATGCTAATGCGAGGATAATAAAATGGCGGCTTCACAAAACTTTTTGGGAGTTTTACGGGGCGTGGTTTGCAATCCGCCCAGTCAATCAGACATAGGAACCTTTTTTCTCCCACGAAAGTCCCTGCTCTCTAGCAGGGACTGAAAAGGGGGTAAAAAGGTTCTCATGAACTAATTTTAGTACCGGCTCTTTTTGGTGTGAACGCGACAAAAGAGTTCTCATGAACTAAGTTCTCATTAACCTTTGTGGGAAAAGTACTGCGGTGTGAATGCGCCTAATGGGCCTTAAAATGGAGACACGTTGAACATTTTTGTCACTTCATGCCCTCAAGAGGCATTTTGTTTAATTGTTTTGCTTCATTTTTTATTTTATTTTAACGTAAGCGAGGTTTTCCTACGTTTTTCATGAAAAATTATGTCCAAGGAGTGTAGGGTTTGGGAATTAAAACATTTCTTTGGGCGAATTTCAAGCACTCCTCCACTCTGTTTTGAGATCTAGACTTAACGAGCTGCGCATGCACTAATGTTAAAATCTGAAGAAGGCCTCTTTACCAATCTCCAAACCAGTGGCGGTTCTAGACCAATTTGACTGGGGGGCCAGTTATTTTCTGAGGGGGGCACAATAAAGGCAGGACGAAAAAGAGAACTAGACAGTATGAAGTAATTGCGCATAAGAAAACAATGCAATACAGTTATTGGTATTTGTTTCAGTACACTTATTTATTTCAGATAGATCTTATAGTTATTACTGTTAGCTTCAGCTTAAGTTATAGTGCAATGTTTGCACTAACACCATATTTCTATAAAAAATAAAGGCAATGAACAGTTACGTCTCTACTTTACATAAGAGTGTCTGCACAATCTCACATTACAGCAACAAAATCCTGCGTTTTTTGGCAAACCGAGTACCAGAAAATATACATTTAAAAAAAAAAAATGTCATTGTTAGGGGGGCCACAGAGGTCAGTGTTAGAGGGGCACTGGCCCCCCATGCCCCCCCCCCCCTAGAACCGACCCTGCTCCAAACTAAGTTGAATATCTCAAAAAGTATAAAAGATATGAAAAATCTGAAGAACATGTTTTATAGCTGAATGTCTTGTGATCATTTTAAAGTTGGAATGAAGTCTCTATAACTGAAAGTATGTGGAAGGAGAAGCATTTGGCGCAAGGTAGGTAAAAGAGGATTTGAAGGTTCCTCCCATTGAGTTACATGTTAAAAAAAGAGTTTAAAAAGCTGAATATTTTTTAAAAAGTATAAAATATTTTGAAAAGGTAGAACGCTTCCTATCATGTGCTGAAAAGGCTGTTTGATATTTGAATGGTTTCTGTAGCTGAAAGTAGGCTGAAGTTGTCGAACGGCAAAATATTGGTTGAAATAATAATAATAATAAGATATAAAGATTCAAAGAACTATAGTGGAATGCTGTGGCACAGCATTCGCACTAAATAGGCTGTGAAAGGCAGATTGTCCTATGAATAAAATCGTTTAGGCCTAGATGACACATTTTCGAAACTCAGATGAAGTTACTAATTAATAGTTACAAAAATCAGCCAAACTAGATATTGTAAGGGAATACATTTTTTAAGAAACCCTCCCAATCCTGGATTTGTGTGATTGATTGATTGATTGATTGAAAAGTTTATTAACAGCTTGTATATTGGGTACAGTACAGTACAGCTCAAAACATACAATTGTTAAGGGGATGCAGACCAGAGAAAGACTTTCGTCTTGTTTACATCAGGGTCCCCCATTTCCAATTCATCATATCATTTAAGACATATAAGACATATTTGACATACAGATGGCTTATTTACAATTTACATACAGGTGGTTTTTTACATACAGATTGCTTATTTACTATTTTCATTTTAGATTTCGTTCTAATACATCCTAACCGGACATTTAAGACATACCAAGTCTACAGATATACAGTTAGTAACATAGTCTAAAATGCGAGTATATACATAGGTGTGGGGGGGAAGCTGTCCATTGAACGACAGGTTGAGATTTGTACCATTACCGGGGCCAGTTTTGCAATGCTCTCCCCCGAAGAGAGGTTTTGAAGGTAAGTATAGTTTTACTTTCCTTTACAGTTGTGGGAAGAGCGTTCCACCTTGATGTGGCATAATTGCGAAACGTGTATTCCCCCTTTTTTGTGCCAAATCTGGGTTTCACATGATTTGTGGAGCTCCCTCTGGTGTTATGATCATGGTATTCCTTGACCTTTGGGAATAATTTTGACATGTACATGGGTACCATAGAGGTGTAGTGGATCTTGTAACCATTGATTATTTATCTTTTATTAATATGTTGTATTTGAGAGGGAACAGAACAGGTGATTGAGTAATACTGTTGGTGTTTCCAGGAATGAGATTTTGGAAACGCAGCACTTGAAGGCAGCACCATGCGCTCACCAGCTGTCCAATGAGAATCCGTGATCCTGGAGCGCGTGTGTGTTGCTCGTGGGGGTTGAAGCGAAGACGCGTGAGCGAGGCGACCAGCTTGAATTCCGCTCAGCTAGAGGTAAGAGAGACATAACAGCTAGTAGGCACAGTTTAATTACTACGACCATTTGCTACCGTTTTAGGGTACTTATCCGTTACGTTACGATTTTACTGACTGATGTGACAGGCCACTGGTGAACTATTTCCAAGACACTTTGCGCCGACTCTGTTGCTTTTATTAACCCGGGAGCTAACGGTAGCTTAGCATTAGCTTATCAATGCGGGTAGCATAATGCTAGTAGCTGCACCATTAACGGACCGTTTTATCTACATAATGGAAAGGCAACCCATTGTTGCTTCAACAACTCACTAGCATACATTATCGTTATTGTGTTGTTCGAATAGGCGGTGGAGGGATATTGTAAATGGTCAACCTTCGTACTTGCTGATAGCTAAAGCATTGTTCATAGCACGTTGACTAGTAGTTTCATGCAAGCTAGGTTAGCTGCTGTCAGATATTTGGCACCGCCCATACTGGGTATTTATTTCCATGTGCTCGTTGATAAGCCGATGTAAGAGTGTAGGTGATATTGATATACTTGTATCAGTTGTCCTATGTGACTGTCAAAGGCAGCGATAGTTATTTTATATGATAGTAAATAGTGAGATGCTAACTTTAGTTATAGCCTAGCCAATGTTCTATTAGCATGGCAATGCGTCATCGGCCTGCGCTTGCTCAACACCAGTGTTACTGTTGATGAGTCGAAGTTAGCTCAGCTGTCTGTCTGCGGCCAGGACTTCAAGCTGACGCGGATTTAGGTTGTGCTGCTGGTGAAATCAGCAGGGTGTTCAAAACCGATGGTTTCTTGGTAATGTTAAGGTTTTTAAATCAAAACGTGTTACACGGGTATTTTTGTTATAACTCACTCTGATGCCCATGTCGGTAGTTGCTCAATCACGGTCTCTGACTCATAATGAGTACATGTCTAATACAACTGTTCTGTTTTTATTAGAGGGAGGAGCTGCCACTTGGAAATGGAAGCCAATAAAGGTAAAGACTGATATATTTAACCTAACTTACCTTAGATAGTGAGTGTGAGAAAAGTTGGGTAAATGTTTTTATTCAGAATGTATCATTAATATATATATGTGTGTATGTATATGCAAAAAAGAGTAAAATATCTAGTGAAACTTAAAAATGATCATGTTCAAACGACAACTGTGATGGTATTAACAAAAACACAACACAGCAAGATTGACATGTGATATATGTCACACTTATTTAAGGAGAAATGTATGTAATTGACCTGCTATAATGTCTGTTTTGGTTTGGCAGGTAAAGGGGAACAAGGAATGCAAATTCCTGGTGGACAGATGGACAGACCTGTCAGCTTCCACTTCATGGAAAGGCAAGTGCAGTTGTGTTATACTTTGTTACTAAGTTAAAATGAATATATCTCCCTGGTTACCACATGCCAATGTTCTGATCAGTTTCCAGACATGGCCATTTTTAGCAAAAACATATATGTTGATATTATTTATTTGTTGCCACTGCACACATAACTGATCATTGAAAATGTGTTTGGTCCCAATTGGCAGTTGAATATTGATGTTAATTGCCACTTGCCATAATGGCACAAAAATATAAATATATATGTTTTAGCCCCAAAATATAGCAGATAGAGTAACTTCCTCATGACTTTAAACATGGTATTGTATTACACAAGGGGGTAATTTAGTGAGCTACTTGTGATCCGTTTGTTATTGTAAACATTCAGGAGTGTAACCGTGATATCGTCAGGTAGTTTCTTTGTGAACCTTTTGGAAGTACTCAAATCAGATGTATGCAATATCACATCTACAGTTATCTAGTTGAGGTTGAACACATTGAACTATTCAGTCATGCATTTCATGGACAAAACTTTGGGTTAACGGTTTTGCCTCTTAAACATAAATCTTAATATCTTTCTTTGTACTGTAAATGATATTAATCTATTCTCATGTTTTTCTTCTCTCATAGCATGCTTCCCAAAGTAGTGAAGAGGCGAGTGCATGCCTTGAAACGGCTACAAGTGCAGTGTGCTCACATAGAGGCTAAATTCTATGAGGAAGTCCATGAGCTAGAGAGGAAGTATGCTGCCCTCTATCAGCCAATGTTTGAAAAGGTACAATAAATAATGTTTTTTATATAACGGATCATTTTCTTTAATTTACCTCTTTTGACTGTAACAGCAGATGTATGCAAGTGTTTTGTGTTCCAAACACAAAAAGCGCTAGGTAAGAAATGCAACAAATGAGGTCTCTTATTTTGAAAAGGATCCAACTTTTGTTGTTACGTGCACTAATGGGTGGTAAAGTGTGTCTTTCTGGTCCGATCTGAGATCAGCCAGGATGCATCCTTGGTGCTAAATCAAAAACTGCCACAACGAGTAGTCAACTGTTCTTTTGTCAGTCAAGGCTATTTCCAGAGCTAGTGACAAGAACTTAGCCATAGTCGCACTGAGACTGACAGCTGTAGTCCGGCTGCAGCTGTCTGCAATGTGTGTACTCTGTGTATGTATGTGTGTGTTTCTCTGCACTGTTAGTGTTGTGTGTGTCCACATGTGTTAGTGTCTTTCTAAGATGGTGTGGATTACACTGGGCTAGCTTAAAATAATTCAGCTTTATGGAATGAATGCTTGTTTGTATACAGATTTTTCACACTCATATTCCCAGATTCCTCTCGATGTGATTAGTGTTGTCACACTACCAAACCAAGTCTTTGATACAATACCTGCCTTTTAATTATGTTGATATTAAAATGGCCACTATTCCTGCAAAGTGCTTACTGCAAACATGGACGCAACCTAAAAATACAGCGAATATTAAAATACTTAAATGTAAATAAAATGTGGTATTTAATCCTTTTTAAGGTACTGTGTTCTTCATAGATTTGTGTATCGAGCAGAACTTAAAGTGATGATCTTTGTCTTATTGTTTGTGTGTCACAGAGACGAGATGTTGTCACAGGAACAGTGGAGCCCACAGATGCAGAGTGCGAGTGGCACAGTGACAGAGAAGAAGAGGAGGAGCTAGCGGTAAGCAAAGACTACATTTAGTTTTTCTTAAAAGCCTTATCACTTTGCAAAGTAAATGTTGGTTTTTCACAGCAAAGGACAATATTATTGCCTTATAGTGACAGACTGCGTTAATCTCATAAATAAACATCCTGCAGAAATAAATCAGGAAAAGAATCACCAACAAACAGGACATGCAAACTGTGAGAGTTTATGTTGCTGTAATCTTGATTTGATCTGATTTCTTTGCACACACAAGTCAAGCTGTGGGTTTTAAAAGACCTTGGTCTCAAGGGCACTTCACCAAAGCTTATCAAACTAAATGTAGATTTCCATTAACAGTTCCATTTCACTTCCTGTAGGAGCAGGTAAAAGAAAAAGCTTCTATTGAGGATGCAAAGAAAGAGGAAGCCAAGCCAGAGGAAGACCCAAAAGGCATCCCTGAGTTCTGGCTCACCATATTCAAGAGCGTGGACATGCTCAGTGACATGCTGCAGGTACATTTCAAGGATTTGTTGCTCACTCATGCCTGAAACCCATAACAACCATTTCTGAACAGTGTCATTTGGCTTTAAACTGACTGTTTGTCTACCACTAGGAACATGATGAGGCCATCCTAAAGCACTTGAAAGATATTCAAGTCAAGTTTTCTGAGCCAGGACAGCCAATGGTCAGTAGCTTCATGTTTTAATAAATAAATACTATCATTCCTAAGTAATAAACTAAATACAGTTAAAATACTGGGTGACATAATCCATCTTGATCTTTCTCCCAGAGTTTCACATTAGAGTTCCACTTTGAGCCCAATGGCTACTTCAACAATGCCGTGCTCACTAAAGTCTACAAAATGAAGTCGGAGCCTGACGCAACAGAGCCGTTCTCATTCGAGGGGCCCGAGATCATTGACTGTGAAGGGTGAGAGCACACATACTGCGGTTATGACACATGATGTTGAGGTTTAAGATCAAATAGATTGTGTGGTTTGTGAAGCCTCTCTGTTCACTCTTTCTATATTCATCTTTTTTGACTTAACATCCCACATATCAGCCTCCACTTGGCACTTTCACTGACCTTTTTTTGCGTCCTTGCTTTAGACTGCCTCTCACTTTTTTACATCCCCTCTCTGTAGCTGTCAGATAGACTGGCACAAGGGGAAGGATGTGACTGTGAAAACTATTAAGAAGAAGCAGAAGCATAAAGGCCGCGGCACGGTTCGCACCGTTACCAAACAGGTCCCCAACGACTCTTTCTTCAACTTCTTTAACCCTATCAAAGGTGAGAGATAACGCACTCGGAAACACGGGTAGACAAAACATACTGGTTTCTCTTGCAATTCCTTTAGAGAAACTACTATTCTTTTCAACATCTGTCTTTCCCAGCAGTGTCTAGTTTGAATCTGCAGACGTTATGGCAACATGCATGTCGTTATGGCAACATGCATGTGATTTGACTATTGGTCACTGCATTAAGCTGAATGAACAGCAGGTGGCGGCAGACTCTTAAACTGTGAGCGGGTGGAACAGTCGAACTGTCTGTCGCTCACTGATGTTGGGCTGTGCACACTAAACTGTTTACTCTACCTAAAAACTTTTACATCTTTGCTTTTACCGTTATTAAACATCTTGAATGGGGTTTGGAAGCTTTGGGACGCTTAACAGTTATCAGTTAATGACTCGCACATAAATGACCAACTCAAAATGTGAGGCAGAGTTGTGATACATCTATTCTAAATAACTATAACCCACTTAAAACATGTTACTTTAATGACAGATGGGTGTGTGTTGAAACTAAATGTGTAAGTGTAAAGTCAGCTAATGCACATGCTTATTTTATTAGGAATAAATCAAAGGAAGAAGATGAAACATTCAACAAAATGGCAAGCTTCTGCAACAAAAAAGATTGGCTCGTTACATTATACAATCATTCTGGTAGTTTATTTAAAGTCAAATCTTTAAGACATTAAGTGACCTTGATAGTCTGATAACCTATATCAAAGGTCTGTCTAAAAAGGTTAGGTTGTTTTTGTTTTGTAGTGTAAAATACAGTGAAACATCTTGAAATGATTCATGAGTTCTTCTCTCAAAGGATCAAAACGCCTTTTATTAAATTACTGGATTGTATTTCCTGTGTAGTTACCTTACATGTCAGACATGCCTCGACTTATTCTGTCTTTGGAAAGTTGACCTGATCACTCATTGGCTGAGCAATAGTTTGTTCTACTGGTTCAGGAACAGCCTCGGTATATGACTGGTTGGTATAAATAGCTCCTCTTAAATGTGTGCGGTTCTGGGGTTGGGACGTCCATTAGTGAGGAAGCCATCACTCACTGATCATGTCAACATGCATAAACAGTGTGGTGTGTGTGAACACGGGTTATTTGACTTTTTAGATGCAGCCCATAATGAGCCTTCCAACGGTTTGAATGTATGCTGATCATACAGTAGAAGACCGTGTTGGAGAACAATTTCTAATGCTCACACTGAATAATGACTAAGGAGGTCATAACCTTGAATATGTTACACGACAGTTTCCTCTAATTCAGTATTGTTGAGAGCAGAGGAAGGATGGGGTGATGTCACCTCTAGTCAGTGTATGGGTGCTAGAGCACAGCTGCTTCTGTACAGCCTGCCACTTTCTGTGGATGTGACTTCACTTTGTGATGTCATTAATAATAGGCATGGCTGTGGCTTTTAGATGTTGGTCAATTACAGCTCATTGAAAGCAATTATAAAACTCATTTTACAGCCGCCTGTGATGTTTTTGTAACGAACGTGCAGTCAAAAATATCACATTTTAAGTGCTTTATCTTAGAAATGATCCTTCTCTTGTCATTATAAAGCAGGGTTTTGTAGTGCTTATTGCTTACGTTTTCCTTTTCTTTACAGCTTCACCAGAAGGAGAAATGGTGAGTAAAAATGTTCTTCATAAAACCAGCACCCATGTCATTGTGTCTTCCATTACATGAATCTATGGGATTTGTAGCTGTGTTGAATGGTTTGTGTTCATGTTTTATAGGACGAAGACTCTGAGTTCACCCTAGCCACAGACTTTGAGATTGGTCATTTCTTCCGTGAGAGAATAGTTCCCAGAGCAGTGCTGTATTTCACCGGAGAGGCCCTGGAAGATGACGAGAGCGTGAGTGTTTTTGATCCAACACGCTGTTGTACTTGGATGCAGAAAAAGCCACAAAATGGGACATTTACAGACTGAAAGAAAACATATAAGCTACATTTGTCAACGCTGGTTTACAATGTGTGATTTCACCCTGATTCTTTTTTGAATGCAGTTTGAAGAGGAGGAGATGGAGGAGGGAGATGAAGAGGTTGGTAATACTATTTTCCCTACCATTTGAATTATATCTTTTATACGTCAGCCGGGCGTCACTGTTCACACAACCATATCATAAAAGCAATCATTGTTTATATTTATTAAGTAAGTTCATTTTTGGAATACATTCTTATTCTCGTTTCTTTGATTCTCAGGAGCAAGATGACGAGGGTGATGATGACGACGATGATGAGGGAGACACCAATGTGAGTATACATTCTTAACTTTTTTCTGATTTGATTTATAGTGCCTCTACTTACGATGTTTATCAAGACATAACCGTTTTGAATAGAATTTTCCATAAAGGTTATTTTATATATTCCCAGTTTTAACCACCAGTTCAGGCAACACATGCTGCATACGTCTCCTCCTGCTCATACTCTCACAGGCTATGGGATACTAACTCATATGTAGTGACGGTCAGTGAAAGAGACATTTATTTAGTAGTTTAGTTGGACTGAAGGGACCATTCTCCATTTTGAGATATTCCAGTCTGATGGTGAGCAAGTGCATAACATGCCTCCATTAGCGGTTTGAACAGGAGTGACCAACAATGCTGCCTTGTTTATGTAAACCAGGGGTGCCCAACCAGTCGGGTCGATCGCGGGGAGATTCCCAGTCGATCGCGAGATGTGTCTAAAAATAGAACAACAATATTCTGTTTTTATCGTTAATGTCCTATAATCTTCCTGTGCCAGAATAATGCACTTGAACGCATCAGAGCTTTGTGATTGGCCGACGTGACCCCATGTGTCGGGGCGTGGCTGGTGGGCAGTGCACTATTTCGCTGACGTTGTCCGTGTCAACAGGAGTGACAGTCCGCACACACAAGACTGCAATTATGGCAGAAGCAAAAAAGCCCAAAATATATAATTTTCACTCCGAGTGGGAGGATAATTATCTTTGTATCTATTCCAATTCAAAGTCCATCTGTCTCATCTGCAATGTGAGCGTGGCTTTATCGAAGAAGGGTAATTTAGGAGCGGCATTTCAAAACAGTGCACAAACGCTCCCAAAAGGTGAGGGACCTGAAAGGACAGCTAAATGCACAGCAGTCCATTTTCACCAGGCCCAACAACAAGAGCAAGGCTGCTACCATAGGATCTTATCGTGTCAGTCACGTTCTTGCGAAACACATGAAGTCTTTCAAAGACGGCGAAGTTGTGAAAGAAGCATTCCTGGAGGCTGCCGACGCGCTTTTGGGGGACAGTAAAAATAACAGTAGCATTTCAACAGGTTTTTGATATAATAAAAACTCAAGTTAGATACCGTTATGAATCAACTGTAAGTTTTAGTTTGTTTGAACTTATTCATTATAATTATTGTACAAAATGGTATAAGAAAGCAAACATTAAGATCTGTTCTGTTTAAATTGATTATAGTCTATTATCAATTCAGGTTAAGAAACTAGTGTTGCTTGGTAGTAGGCTGTCAGTAATGGCTACGCCTCTCTATTTGGACTGGTAGATCTCGGCAGACCGGCAACTTTAAAAGTAGCTCTCGGTTCAAAAAAGGTTCGGCACCCCTGATGTAAACGTTTGTTTTGGTGCCTGTTGTGCAGAATGTGTTTGTCCCGTGATACCTGCTGCACATCAGTTATTGATATTGCTACAGAAATCCAATGTCTCACTGTCTCCTTTCTGAATGCGACGGTTGATTAAACTTGTGCATATTGTTGTTTCTCCCTTCCCTGGACCCCCCCCCCCCCATTACAGGCATAATCAATCATTCTCATCCCATGCAATTTCTAGGTAAGGGAGAAATAAGGATGGCGTCCCAAACACTTTCTTACACTTTCTAGTCCATTGGCTCTGGTCTATTATTCTGGCTGCCTCTCTCTTTTACTACACTCATGATTCTTCCAATAGTCCGAGGTGTTTAGGACCCTCAACTTACACCTTGGGTAGACACCGCTTTTTTTCTCCCTGTCCTGTCTTTGCTCTTTATCTATCTTTTTGTTTTTCCTCTGTAGTCCCATCCCAGGTTTCTAACATTGCACCCTTTGTTGTACACAACCAGGTGCTTTCATTCTCACGCCTGCTTTCCTGTTAGCCTCATCTATGGTTGCTAGTTGATTCCCAGTGGCCTCATTATCTTACTCTTCTTGTTTTTCTAATCTGGTTTCTCTGTCTATTCCCAACAGAAAGAACAGCCCCAGCCTGCCGAATGCAAACAGCAGTAACCGTGGTGACCTGGTGGAGACCTGCTCTCCGTCAAATCAGTTCTTAACCAATCAACGAGTCCTCCTACGCCATTTTATGAACTCATGAACGCAATAGAACACAAACCAAACTGCGTTTTTTACTATGTGCATGACTTCTTTTCTTCCGTCTTGCGCCCATCTAACACTTTTATTTAGCTTCATTCAAAACTCATAGCGGGAAGTGACTTGACTCTAATAAACTACCATGTCATCACACAGGGACAGTCTTCTTCTTTGGTAAGGTGGAGTAGGTTGCTACTGCCAACAACCTCAGAATGTCATCATATTGAAAAAAGCATAGGAAAGAAATGGATCCCAACTTTAGTTTTCATGGAAATAAATCAGTTACTCAGGGTTTTTTATGCTAGTTACAGGAAAGTGTTGAACAAGTCTGACTTAATCTTTCACTGGGGTTGCTGAAGTGTTTTTCTTTTGTTATGGTATTTCAAGAGGCATACAATGTATCATTTTGAATTTAATTTACTTTTGAAAATGTTCATTGTCATTTCATTGGACTATTTATTCTGGTGTAATGCAGCTGAGGGGTCGCATTTCAGGAACTCTGCTGCAGTTAAAGGCTTATTCTCATTGGCTCAAATCTTATTTGGGCTCAGCAGGTGTGGAAACTGCCAAGTCATGTTTTTTATTATTGAAATTAGTTTAAAACATTTAAGAATTGTGTCCTCCATTAATACTGCTCTCACTTCTGCCCAGCTCTATTGGGCTTAACAAGCATTTAAACTGAGCACTTGATTGGACACGTAACACTAACTAACATCATATGACAGGCATGTGGTTATACCTCAAAACTGTCATACATATATATATATATAGCTCTTCTCTGTTTGCCCCAGGTTGTTCATGAACCCACGTCAACAAGGATAATAAAAACAATTACAAAATACAAGCTTTTGAAAAGTTAGAATGTCTCTGCATAGAGAAATGCTCCTGTCTGGCTCTGCATTTCACTGCAGGATAACTCACTTAATCAGACAAAAGGACTGATCCACAACCTTTTTTGGGTTGCATCAGTCTCGTATGCATATTGTTCTAACAAAAGTTTAAAGTCAATGATGTGACGGGGTGCAAGATGTTTGGATCAAATGTAAATTATGTTGCCAAAAGAAAGACAAAACCCACCGTCCTTTTTTATTCAACTGTTTGCCAATTGTCATTAACAGTGTAATCTAATTCTAAAGTTGTTAAAGAATATATAAATGGAAAACAAATGGAAGAGATTGCCAATGTATTTTATATAATGCACGCATTTCGGCAGTTTGGATGGACACTTTCGCCCGGTGTCTGCTCAGCGGAGGCAGTGCAGCGGGAAAAAACCTCTTTTTAAAAAGAACGATTGTAGGTCTTCTTGGGAAGATCTTTCAGAGCCACGGTTTTCATCTTCAAATTAACCACATTGGGCCGTGTGCTAGCAATGGCCTTAACTGGTTCTTAATCACAATTTGTTACTTGCGCAATATTTCTTTTCAATTTGTACAGTTAATTAAAATATTCTATTAAAGTTGTGCAACATGGAAATGTGTTGAGTCCTTTGTCCTTTAAAGGTACCATGTTATGCTAATTTTCAGGTTCCTTTTTGTATTTTGTGCCTCTACTGTGACATTTTTACATCTTTTAATGTTCAGAAAGTGCTTTTATTTTTCTCATACTAGGCTTGTTTGAGACAAGCGAGACCTGCGCAGTTGCGATCAACGTCTTGCTAGTGCGTTGCATGATGGTTAGTCATTTTGTCCGACTTGCTCTGGAGGCTCGCCTACATGAGACGTTGAAATCTCGCGGGACAAAGACGCCCGCAGCCTTGAGAGCGAGGCGGCGCAGTTCCTCTCCACGGGCTGCGGAAGCGAAATGCTTGATGAGAAACGACTCGCTGGTATCTCGAGCTGAGCGCTCATTGGTGGTTTTTACCCCGTGCTGCTGATGCAACTCTCCAATTGGCTCGGCAAAAGTTTGTTGTTGTTTTGTGTCCGTTTTACGTCGCCACATCCATTCCCATTTTTCATCATTGTTCCAATGTTTATCATCATGAAATTAATATCTATATATTTTATACTATACTTGCAATGCTTACCGTTTTCATACTTTATATATCTTAGCATATTCATACACACTATTCATACTGCTCACAGGCTGATATCTAGTGTATTCATACCCCTCACTGTTTATTCATCATTCAATTCATTCTATATTTTATTGTGTACATTACTTTTCACTTTACTGCTTGTTGCACCTGGTTAGAAGCTAAACTGCATTTCGTTGTCTCAGTACCTGTAATATGTGCAATAACAATAAAGTTGAATCTAATCTTGAGCAGGAACAAATGTATTTACTTAGTACATATCTGACATTAACGATTAAACACATGTGTGCATTCTTTATAAATGCAAACCGAGTCAAACCGACTCCGGAGGTGGCAGTATGCACCTTAAAGCAGAGTCCTGCATCGGGTCGGGTACCCGCGGGTACCCGACCCGACCCGTACCCGACGGGTGACCCGCAAAAAAGGTGATTCGCGGGTGGTATTTTTTCAAACGCTTTTTTCCGGGTTCGGTTCTGGGTAAAACAAAGATGATGCGGGTCGGGTCGGGTCGCGGGTATTGCATAATAAATATATTAAAATAATAATAAATTAGTTTAATGTTTAAAATCCTCAGACCTCTCCCCCGCGGGACCGCGCATAATCATAACCTCTGCAGCGCATCAATCTGCTGCTGTGCGCGCCACATTCGAAATGGCTGAGGTGAAGCTCTCTAGCGGAGAATACAGCATTTTCAATAACCCTTCCTCAAGAGCGAAATCCAACGTCTGGGAGGCTTTTTGTGTCATCCTAGATGGAGGAAATAACCAACATCCCACGCTTTCTGAGACAAATATGAAACTGCGTGTGTTAATAATTGCACGTTTTCACTGCTCATAGGCTATGCGGGTTCGGGTCGGGTTGCGGATCTTGTGCCGACGGGTCGGGTCGGGTTGCGGAACTAATTGGCAATATGTGCGGGTAGCGGGGCGGGTTCGGTATTGCACGTCGCGGGTGCGGGGCGGGAGCGGGTCTTGAAAATCAGACCCGTGCAGGACTCTGCCTTAAAGTTGTTTGCAATCCGCCAAAAAACGGAGAGAAGAAGAAGACGAAGCCGACTCCGAGCTGTCCGACTTCAGGCGAGCTTTTTGAGACCTCCCCCGGCTGCGATCGGCTATTCTCGTCTACTTTCGAGGCGAGCCGCAACGCGTCTCAAACAAGCCTACTGCCTCTTCACCTTCTGTTTGAACAAGAGCCCCGTCTGCTCTGATTGGTTAGCTGGCTTGCTCTGTTGTAGTGATTGGTTAACCGCTCAGGGATGTTCCAACCCTTGGCCCAGAGCCATATAATAGAAGAGTTACGACAACGGAAGTCCAAAAACGGTTATCGTCACGTGGTTCATGTAGAAGAGGATCGTTCCCCGGAAGTTCATGGCGGGCAATGTGAATGCATTGATAACAGGAGATAGAACTACGATTTTTGGTAATTATTAGTGAATAAAGGTTTTGATTTGCAATATTTATACAACAAATCAATATGTGTATGTATTTACATCAATATGTTTTAAAAAATAAAATAGAATTTGCTAATATTAAGTGATAATATTAGGATTAGTGTGAACAACTAGTTTACATGTTAGGCTAACAGTGCCTTGGTTAAAGAGCCTGTTGCTGTTTATTTATAGCTTTGAATTCTTTAAAACCAATATTATCTTCTTAAACTTGTATGGTAGTCAGGAGCATCACTTTCTAATGTTTATTGATATATTTAGAGGGAGGGGATCTAAAGTAATGCTTTAAAATTCAGATTAGATTAATGTCTACCATTTTCTTAAATTCATGGTAGTTTCAGTAACCATGGTAATTGAGGACACAAGTTATCTAAATGACTAATGTCATCTTTATGGCTTTCAGAAAGGACAGGAGACCGACAGGTGACTATCAAAGGACTAGCAGCAGCAGCATGATGATGATGATGTTAAATGTGTTGTTTTAGGAACATCCATTGCAAATACATGGAATTCAATAAACATTGAATAGCATATCATGCAGTTTGTCTGTGCCTTTTCCTCCGTGTTGTCCTGGTTTGCTGTGCTGCCTCCTAGTCGCCACCATGGTTTGCTGTGCTGCCTGGGGATGCTCCAATCGCTCAGAGAAAGGAGTACGAATGTACAGCTTCCCCACTGACACAGAGCGGAGGAAGCAGGAGCAATTTCACAACCAACAGCAAAAAAATATGTGATTTATATACAAACACTGCATTTGCACTTTTTCACAAAACGAAAACCACTCCATTGGGAAAGCTTAATGTTTTGTTTAATACAAAAAACAGGGAAAGGCTTGAAAAACACTGAGAGTTGAGACTCAGGGTGCAGGGTGAGGGTCTCAGTGCAGGTATTCAGGCTCCATTGAATCCCCCTCTGGTTCTTGTGCTGAAAGAGGGATAAACAGACAGGAGAAAGGGTTATACACACCTATATAGCACACCTATTGGATGGGAAATTGCCTTGGGGAGATATGGTGTGGTCTTTGTTCCCAACTGAAGTTATGGAACTTTATTATTTGTGAGTTTAACAAAGTATGACAAATGGCATCAGTAACATATGTGATATGAATTTCTATAAAGTTGTCTCACATTCTTGGTCATATTGTATATACAGTATGTAATGAGTATAACATGTCCAGTAAGTATAAAGTGTTTCCTAATACTGTGTATTCAACCACTATGGAATATGTATGTGGGCAGACAAAACTGAGTTGTTCTGTGTGTGAAGTAACCTCAAGTCACTCCGCAGGCACATATTGATGCAGACCAGTTTGTCAAGACAAAAAAGGGCAAGACTAGGCTGAGAGCAGAGGCTATACCCACCATCTTCGTGCATCGCCCTGTGGTCAAAAAGAGAAGGGCCCCTGCACCACGATTCACCCGGGACCTGTATCTACAAAGCCCATAGCTCATGATCACAGCGATAGTGTGAAAGGTGACACAGGTATAATAAGTATGAACTCTTAGTAACAAAAGTAATATTTCTTATTTTTAAGTGGTATAATATTTTAAATGTTCGAACATTTACAGTGCCATGTCTTCTACTTACATTAGTCTCAAAGATTGAGGGAAGAAGGGAAGGGATCACTGCCCTCCACCTGCCAGAGGAGCGCAAACAACAAAAACAAGCAAGGTGTCCCGTCATGTACCTGGAAGTTTGGGTTGGCAAAATGGAGTAAGAGAGAGACTTGAAAAACCTTGGTGGCTGTCTACTCATGTTGTTACAGTTGTCTTGGTTACAGCTCTCAAGTTTTTTTTTGTGCCATTTCCACATCTTTAGAAAATATGAAAAAATTGAAGTGAAATCAACCTCATCTCTGGAGAACAAACTTGGATTTCTCTGTCTTGTGAGTTTGCAGTCTTGCAGTTTTGCTCCTCCACCTGTAACATCACTGCCCCTCCACCTGCCATACAGTAGGTTACTAACAAGATTACTTATATAATACATGTTTAGTATGCTTACTTATATAAAACAGTAGTATTAAACTTACCTTGTGTGTTCACTCTCACTTAAGTTCCTCTCCCTTTGCCATCAATCCAAAATCAGCTGAGCTGCAACATTATACACACAGGTAATAATCAACATAATCACAAGGACACAATATGGCTCTGCTAAAAACACTCAAATAGACATTAAGAGAACGGAATTTACAATTAAAAGGCTGTTCAACGTGTGTTGCTAACTTGCTTCGGTATCCTAGCTTGATCTGTTATCTGTAAACGTTCCCTAAATCTACTAATTTAGGGATAATCCACTGACATCCTTTAATACACATGTTCAATTGAATCAGATGTACTGATAATATCCGCAATATAAATCTTTAAACTTCTTCTTACCATTAAAAGTCCGTCACGAACGGTCTATTATGCTGCAACTCCACAGCTCTGCTAGCCTTGGCGCTAACTTCCGGGGAACGATTGAGAGGCTCCACGATCCGCCATTGCTGTAAAAAAAGTGGTCCATTGGAGTGAACGGAGATGTCATAACTCTTCTATTATATGGCTCTGCCTTGGCCTATAGAGCGGCGAAGACACCCGCTGAGAAGCCAACTCTGGTTATTGGTAGCTCTATTATGAGACACGTGAAATTAGAGACCGAAGCCTCCACAGTCACATGCATTCCGGGGGCCAGAGCGGGCGACGTTGAGGCGCATCTTAAACTGCTGGCTAAAAATAAACGTAAATACAGTAGGATTGTTATTCACGTCGGTGGTAATGATGTTCGTATACGCCGATCAGAATGCACCAAACTTAATGTGGAGTCGGTGTGTAGTTATGCTAAGACAATGTCGGACATCGTAATCTTCTCTGGTCCCCTCCCCAATCTGATCAATGATGACATGTATAGCCGCATGTCATCATTTCAGCGCTGGTTGTCTTGGTGGTGCCCAGCAAACAATGTGGGCTTCGTAAATAATTGGACAGCCTTCTGGGGAAAACCTGGTCTGATTAAGAGAGA